GAGATGCGATGTTTTCATTCGCTCTTTTGGGTTGACTTAACATTTTGAAGCCTTTTAAATTTATTATGAATTTAACATCATTCTGCAATTAGTATCGCCGATTAAGCGGACGATTTTATAAAAGAAGATATTCATCTTAACGTCGTGTGTGTGCAGATGCCTATATATTCACAAAGCTGTCAAAAAAAATTATGCACAATAGAAACTCGCATTGTGAATTGGGTCTACCGTCAGTACCGAACTGTTGATTTAGGGTGTGACGAAACGATTTAGAATACAAGTGTTTTTCATAAAATTAGATATCTTTATTGATGAATAATAATCGAAATGTACATGTTGAGGAGAAAAAAAATAATCAGATGAATAAGAAAAGTATGGTGCGATAAATGTAGGAATGCAGTCAGTATTATGGAATCCAGCACATTTGAAGTAACATGCCACAGTCTTCTGCTGAACAATAAATTAAAAAAAACTTGTTATGGTGTTGTTGTGTTGTATTGTTGCTTGATTATGATGTTATATTGTGACATTTGAATACAGGGTTGTCAAAAAACTGGGAAATGCTCATATTTCCCAGGACGATGGGAAATACTGGTAATTACCGGGATTTACTGGTATTTCCTGGGAAATACTGGGAAATAAGAATTAGCTACAGATTCCATTCATATTGACATGTAGTACACCTTATTGCCTAAGATATCTACCTGGTATCACTGTCCCTGATAAAAAATTTCTGGTTTCCAAGTAAATCATTTTATATAATCATAACACAGTATATTCATATACAAGTCATGAGTGTCATTTGTTTCGTGCTTGAGTCAGATGTAGTCTATAAAGGTGCATGAAATGAACCCAAAGATCCCAATTGGGTTTTTATGTAGCTAAAGAAGGGTCTTAGAAAATTCTTAAAAGGTAACTATCTCTCAAAACAGGAGCACAAAACTGTCAAGAGCAATTTGTTAAAACAACATGTTTGTTTGTAATAACTAGTGTTTATAGAAAGATTTTTTTGTTCTTGGGTTAATAATTAATATTAAAACTTAATAATTTTACAAAACTGAAAAGAAACTTGAATTGGAAAACTTCAGTTTTATACAGCCAGGGAAGTGTTTCAGAATGCTTTATACTGTGAGCCAGGGAAGTGTTTCAGAATGCTTATGGTAATGGGATCTGGAGTAGTGATACATTCTGAAAATGTTAAATAGCAATTTTGACATATTTCATATTATTCATCTTCTGTTTTTATGTTTATTTTTAAATTTTGTATAAGATTGAATGAATAAGAGAAATTAAAAAAAAACTTTGATACCTTTAAGTTTCCCAGTATTTCCCAATACATGTGTTTCCCAATTTAGAGAGAATTTGTAGTATTTCCTGGGACGGGAAATACCAGTATTTACCACCGGTAATTCCCACCAGTGGTATTTCCCGGCCAACACCGTTTGAATATCTTGATTGGGCCAAGCAAAAAAATGTTTGTTTACTGTTGCATGCTGAAATAAAATAGGATCGGTATGTAGGATTTCTATTTTATTTTATTGAATTTTTTTAATACACAAATTCACATGAATTGGTTGAAATACAAAACAGTTTTACCATTCTATGGTGCTCTACTTTTGTTAGGGCTTGCCATGTGAGTGATAGACAATATCTTTTTAGATATAATTGAACATGCCAATTTGTTTCTAATACTTTCAATTTTAAACGCTTGACCGATTAAGATGCATGTAATAGTTAAACTGAATGATGAGTAACTTATTGATTTTTACAACAAAAAAATTTGGGGCACTATTAATTATAGGTCAATCAGGTAACCGTAAACAAACATTTTTTTATTATGCCTTGGAAAGTTTATGCTTAAATTCAGTGTTTTATCCTGTGCAGAAGATTGAAAAACAGACATTATGAAACGTGTGCCAGGGGCATGTTAAGGATAAACAACACAAACAAACTTTTTTTCAGAAATCAGCAATATTTTTCATAGATTTATATTCAGTTAGGTAACCTGAATAATGTTGGCCCTGTTAAGTGGGAGGATTTTGTAAGATTTTGTCACAATGTTAAAATTATGTACAAAATTTTGTATAGAATTATATAGAAACCAAAACAGTCGCATATTTTAGCATCAAAGAAAACTTACGATTTTCTTATATTTTAGAGATTTATTATTTAGGTCATTTCTATTCAAAATCAGTCAAAAAATATATATATCAATCCAGGCATCAGATTTTTGTTTGTGTTATGTATCTTTAATAGGCTCCGTTCTTTATTACACATATAACACATGTATTAAATAAACAAGGGAAAATCGAAAGTAGTACACATAAGTTTTCACAAGTTGTTTTTTGACTGTTTACAAATTGTGTGCTACTTTCGATTCTATTATATGATTTAAAGAGAACAGCATGGATAAGATGTCCCTGTGCCCAGAGTAACCAAACCCAATGGTGCTCTCCCCCATGAACTGAAGTCACGATGTATGGTCAAAAGGTTAAGCAAGACCTCTACTATGACTTTTATTGGGACATTATAGATTAATCTGCACCAAATGATCAGTCAACACAAAATGTGCACATTGGAAAAAATAAAAAATATGAAATAAAATCCAACCGCCCGCCTGCCCGCCTCGATTTTTCAGAAAAATTGGATGAGAATCTAGGATTTTTTTTAAAATGGCCTTACTGCTTAAGACTGTAATCTCTATTTGACCTGAAATATTTATTGCTTTGAAAAAAAAAATACCCATGATCAAACATCCCATGGTTAAAGCAATAATTTAATGGGGAAGAAAATCAACTGCACTGAATTTTTGAATACATTTTTAAATTTTCAATTGTGCAGTAATGATTATGCCCCCGCTCCAAAGGAGGGGGATATAATGTTTTATCCTTGTGTGTCTGTCTGTCCGAAACAAATTTTTGTTGCAGTTTCTTCAGCAACTACTCATTGCAGATGCTTGAAATCTTGGCACACTTTTTGTTTTGGCATGTCAAATGGTGGGATTCAGCGGGGGTATTACTAGTAAGAATAATCTAACTGCATCTTAGGACAGGCCCTCACCACAGTTAGAATGCCTCACATATACTCGCAATATAGCAAAACATTGCAGAATCACTCCGAAATGATTTTGAAGAATAGAAAAGGATTTGCCCTGAAAATAGCTAAAAATTAATTATAACAAACCTTTTTGAGGTTGTGCATGACTTTTAGCCTTAAAAAAATAATCCATGTAAAGACGAAAATTCAACTCATTTTCTCATCATTTTTTCTCGCTTCAAATTTACTCGCCATGTCGAAATTTGGAACTCTGGGTTGTTCATAGAGTATGTAGTTTTTTCTTTGCTACATTGCCAATATACGGAACACATTCTATCTTTAATATATCTGTAGGAATTTATCATTTTAACGATAGAGCAAATCTATCTAGGGTATTACTAGTGAGCATTCACTCACAGACATATTGGTGATTTTTTTTTTAAATTTCCAGATATTTCCATCATAATCAAAGCTTTATATACACAGGTGTGCTTCAGAATCTGATCTGCTCATCTATTAACAGTTTAAAGTTGAAAGATTTTGCATGTGTTAAGTAGGTCCATCCCTTAGTCAGGAACAGTAACCCTATTAAATTATTATTTATTTGAATACATCTTTAAGAAAGCTTGAAATGGAAATCATAAGAGCATTGGTAGATAAACATTATTTTGTGAATTAAGTGACATTTTCATAAGTATTTTCAGTTATTTAACTGAAGATTTTCAGAGCCTGGGGGAAATTTCCTATTTGATTTGTTATTGCTCTTTTATATCATGGCATTGGCACAGAAAAGAAATACTCTACAGGTCTCAGTATTTTGGGAGATTTAATGGAGTAGTATTGGTATTAGGTATACTTATTACTTGTGAGGATTTATTTATTATTATTGTGATTATGCACTGCATAAACTTTGTAAATGAACAGTACTGAGTGAAAATCGTGAATTTAATTTCTTTTGAAATTTTGCATCATTTATGACATAAATTTACTTTAAATTGCTTAATTTTCTTTATTTTTAAAGGTAAGTGCTAGCTAATAGGAAGCTTTATCAGATTTTGCATCTAAAATATAGGGCACCTTGTAGTAATCAGTGTGTTTCACTTTGTCAAACTCGCAAAGCATCCCTGGGTGAAGGAAATTCTAAGTTGTTAAATTAAAGGGCCAAGCCCCCTTCCAATGGGAGATAATCAAGGATATGCAAAAATAGGGTGGTGTTTTTAAAAAAAATCTCCTCTTCAAGAACCACTGGGCCAGAAAAGATGAAACTTGTGTGGAAGCTTCTTGAGGTAGTGTAGATCATAAATTGTTCAAATCATGCCCCCGGGCTAGGGTGGGGCCACAATAGAGAATCGAAGATTTACATTGAACTATATAGGAAAAAAACTTTAAAAATATTCTTCTCAAGAACCACTGGACCAGAAAAGATGAAACTTATGTGGATGCATCCTTGAATAGTGTAGATTCTAAATTGTTGAAATCATGGCCTGCAGGAGTAGGATGGGGCCACAAGAGGGAGTCAAACTTTTACCATGAAATATATAGGAAAAATCCTCAAAATCTTCTTCTCAAGAACCACTGAACCAGCAAAGATGAAACCTATGTGGAAGCATTCTTGGGTAGTATAGATTTTAATTTGTTCAAATCATGACCTCTGGGTCTTATAGAGCATCAATTGTTACATAACGACACATCCATTTCTTTAAAAAAAAATGAGATGGGAATACTCTGCAATATTGTAAGACTCCACACTCCACATGTACACCTGAGCAATGGTAATTAGGATGTTTCACCTCCCTGATGAGGTCTATGGGGAACAGAATATATAAGTAATGTGGGTTAAATTTTCTTATTCCTGATGCTTCATGAACCCAGATGATTCTCTTGGAAACACAAGTGTCCTTATTAACGAGACTTGACTTTTCATCCACAGTATCGATATTCATTATTAACTTTGTCCTTTGTAGATGCCTAGAAGAAAGTACTGGAGGATGAGTGGTGCCAGGAAAGAGATACGGACTGACAAGACTGAGGAGACTGGCCTCATGAAAAACAGTAAAACAATGTCTGACCTGGACTTGACTGAGGAGACTGGCCTCTTAAAAAACAGTAAAACAATGTATGACATTAGAATGACTGAGGAGACTGGCCTCATTAAAAACAGTAAAACCAAAGTTGACCCTGAGGAGCCTGCCCTCAGATTACAAAAAAACAGGAAAACCAAAGAAACTTGTCAAACAAATTTGATCAATGAACTTTGTGAAAAAGATCTGCTCAATGAATGTGCTGAAAAGAATTTGCAAAACAATGTTGAAAAAAAATTGACAAACAATGCTTTATTCACTAAAACTGTACTACACAATTTTGGTGTAATGGCCGAAGAAGGCAAATCACTTACACATGAAGACAACCAGGTTTGCAATAGAAAATTAGTTTTTGGATCATTTCATCAAGGAGATGCAAGATTTTCATCATTTTCTAGAGGAAGTCAGTGTACCTGCAATGCTCTTACTATGCTGATAAAAAGTTACGAAGGATTTTCATTCTCGACTGAATTTATTGATGGCACTTTAATAGCAGGAGATCAGGTTTATATTATGTTGGTTAAGAATTTGCAACAAAAACAAATGTTTCTTAACAAACTACTTAAATTTGATGAGTTGCCAAGTAACTTAACTTTAGGAGAAAATCATCATGTTATCGAGACATTTGAAACTATTTGGGGATTACTTGTCTCTGAACAACAAAACAGTCAAGTGAAAACATTGCATCAAGCTTTAGAAGAGGCATTTCAGGTTTCTAGGTATTTGCTGATAATGATAGGGGCAATTTGTTCTGGTATATACAAAGTGTCAAGCAATGAATATTACTTTTTTGACTCTCATTCACATGACAGTGATGGCATGTCTGCCTGTGATGGTAAATCAGTACTAGTACACAGCAAGGGTATCAATGATTTGGTGTCATATTTGTACAGTATGTATAACAGCATGCATATAGACTTTGCAATGCAGTTTGAAATCTTACCAATCTCAATTAAGACTTTGCATCATAGTTTTCCAGAGAAAAGCCCATTGCAGAAAACATTTTACAAAATGGATGATCATCTCTCATTTGCAAAAAATTCAGAAGATCAAAACCTATGCAGAAAAAGTTATATGAGAGAGTACATGAGGAGAAAAAGAGAAAATGTGCAATTTAAGCAAGTAGAAAGAAACAAAGATTCACATGCTAAAAAGTTGAAGAGACAAAATGATGATATAAAAAGCAGAGAAACTGAAATGGGAACAATTGTAAGGAAACTAAAAAGGCAGAATTCTGAAATAAAAAAGAAAGAAAATGAAAGAGAAACAGCTGCTAGAAGGATAAAGCGACAGAATGTAGAAATAAAAGAAAAAGAAAGGAAAACAAATACAGCTGGTAGGAAGGAAAAAAGACAAATTGAAAAAGTAAAAGAGAAAGAAAGGGAAATGGATAAGTTCACAAGAAAGTTAAAGCGACAAGATACTGAAATAAAAGAAAAAGAAAGGAAAACGAATACAGCTGGAAGGAAGGAAAAAAGACAAATTGAAGAAGTAAAAGAGAAAGAAAGGGAAATGGATAAGTTTGCAAGAAAGTTGAAGCGACAAGATACTGAAATAAAAGAAAAAGAAAGGAAAATGAATACTGCTGGTAGGAAGGTAAAAAGACAAAATGTAGAAATAAAAGACAAAGAAAGGGAAATGGATAAGTTTGCAAGAAAGTTGAAGCGACAAGATACTGAAATTAAAGAGAAAGAAAGGAAAATGAACACTGCTCGTAGAAAGTTGAAGCGACAAGATACTGAAATTAAAGAGAAAGAAAAGAAATTGAATACAGCTGGTAGAAAGTTAAAACGTCAGATTGCTGAAGTGCAAGAAAAAGAAAAAGAGGACAGTAGAATTTCAAAAAGAAAATGCAGAGAAAATCCAATTGTTCTTGAAAAAGAACGGTTAAGAAAGCAAGGTAAACGAAGTAACATTTCATTTAGAGAAAATGAGCGATTGCTAAATAGGGAACAGAAACGGAAAAAAAGAACAGATATAGAATATTATGAAAAAGTAAATGAACATCAAAGACGGAAAAGATTTGGAGAAGATGTAACGGATTGCATCCAAATTTTTCATGAACAGATTAGACATGGTCCAATTTTTGTATGCTCATGTTGTCAGCAAACATGGTTCAAAGAAAGTGTTTCTAAAGTGGAGAACACAAAACTAGATGACAATAGTAAAAGAAAGTTTCTTACTAGTACTGTGTCTGTTGAAAATATGGAATGGATTTGCAATACTTGCTATTCATCAATCAGAGAAAACAAAATTCCAAAGTTGTCTGTCCTAAATGGTATGATGTGGCCACTTAAGCCAATGGAATTAGACTTGTTTCCTTTAGAAGAAAGGCTTGTGTCTCTGAGAATACCTTTTATGCAAATTAGAGAGTTGCCAAGAGGTGGACAATATTCTGTAAGAGGAAATATTGTGAATGTTCCTGTTGATATTCAACCTACTGTAAATAGCCTGCCAAGAAAATTAGATGAAAATGTCACAGTTCCTGTTAAATTAAAGAAAAAATTGTCATATCAAAAGTGTGATTATCATGAAAATGTACGACCAACAAAAGTACTGATGGCATTACACTGGCTTATGAACAATAGTGACTTTTACAAGAATGCAAATATCAATGTTGATGATAACTGGTTTCAAGAAATTACAACTTCAGCAAGTGAAATTGTTCAGGAATTGGTAAAAACACAAGCGAGAAGCAACCCAAATACTGATTATCATGAGACGGTTGATAGTGACGATGATGAATTCTGTGAAGTAGATGGAGTTGGTAGAGATGGTAATTGCGATACTCTGTTAGATGATGCTTCACGAGACATGAATCAGGTTTACACATTTGCTCCAGGTGAAGGACAACGCCCACTTAGTCTGTATCAAGATCAGACAGCTGAGTATTTATCATTTCCAACAATTTTTTGTGGAAAGGGAAGATTACAAGATGATGAAAGACAAGTACATGTGTCTTATGCAGATATAGCTAAATGGGAATTAAGAAATGTTGATAGACGTGCTGCCCAGTCTGTTCCAAATTTGTTTTTCAAGTTGAAAAAAATACAAATGAAGCAAGTTACAGACAAATGTAACCTAGCTCTTAGGAAATGCAAAACTAAAGGAAAATCCATGACGGCAAATGAAATGAAAAATCCTGAAAATGTTAATAATCTTGTTAGACACAATGAGGGTTTCTTTGTGTTCAGGCAGTTACGAAATTCACCTGCATATCTTGAGACTAGAAAAAAAGATGTATTTGCTATGATCAGACAGCTAGGTTTACCAACATGGTTTATGTCACTGTCTGCAGCTGATACAAGATGGAATGATCTCATTAGAGCACTTGGAGTGTTAAATGATGGAAAAGAATACACTGATGAGGAAATTAACAGCATGACTTGGTTTGAAAAATCAAAATTAGTACAAAAGGATCCCATCACATGCTCTAGGTACTTTGATCATAGGTTCCGTATGTTTATGAATTCAGTGTTGAGAAGTGATCATCATCCAATTGGCATTGTAAAAGACTTTTTTTACAGAACTGAATTTCAGCAAAGAGGATCACCACACATTCATATGATTGTTTGGATACAAAATGCACCAAAATATCATGAAAATAATGAACAGGAGATAGTAACTTATGTAGATAGTTACCTGAAATGTGAAAAGAATGAAGACAATGTTTTGACTGACTTGCAAGTGCACAAACATTCACAGACATGCAAAACGAGAGGTAAAGCTGTATGTCGATTTGGTTTTCCCCTTCCTCCTCTTGAAGAGACTTTAATTTTGGAGCCATTAGAGTGTGATGTTGACAAATACAAGAAAATGTATGATAATATTCAAAAACAGCTAAATGATATGAAAAATGGATGTGATTTGTCCTACAAGGAGCTCCTGAGCACAGTACTTAAGATATCCGAGGAAGATTATATTAAATGCATTAGAAGTTCACTGAGAGGTCCAAAAGTTTTTCAAAAAAGAAATCCATGTGATATGAGGATAAACTCATACAACAGCATTGTTCTTGATGCTTGGAAAGCTAACATTGATATTCAGTATATTTTGGACCCATATGCCTGTGCAATGTATATTGTTTCTTATATAAGTAAATCACAAAGAGGAATGAGCGATTTACTTAACAGAGCTGCAAAGGAAGCTAGAGAAGGTAATCTTGACATAAAAAGATAAGTACGTCATATTGGAAATCATTTTCTCAACAGTGTAGAAGTTGGAGCACAGGAAGCAGCATATTTAGTGTTACAAATGCCAATGACAAAAGCATCAAGAGAGGTTGTTTTTATCAACACAAGTCCATCAGATGACAGAGTAACTCTCATTAAAACAGATGCTGAATTGGAAAAGTTGACACCAAATTCTACAGACGTGGAATGTAGCAATGTAATTAAACGGTATGCAAAACGCCCAAAGCAGCTTGAAAACTGGTGTTTAGCCGATTATGTATCACAGCTAGATGTTGTATTCCCTAAAGATAATGAGAAAGAGCTCAATGAAAATGAGGTGAATGATGATGAACAGGACAATCAGTCAGATGACGAAGACAATTCAGATCTTGATTTCAGTGAAAGTGATACACTAGTTACTCTGAGAAATGGCATAAAAATTAGACGACGGAAAATGCGAAGGGTAATTAGATATATTCGATTTAATATCAAAACTGATCCAGAAAATTATTATAGAGAAAAACTTATGTTGTTTATGCCTTGGAGAAATGAATCCATTGATCTTTTATCAGGAATGGACACATTTGAGAAGTCATTTCATCTGAGGAAGTCTTTTTTTACACACAAGGTTAAGGAATATGAATTCAATACTGAACAGCTTGATGCAGCTTTGCAAATGGCAAACGAGGATTTTTCAGAAGCTTTTGATGAATTGGCACCAAATGTTCAGCAAGGAGAAGCAGAAGATGAAAATGAGGGATTTCTTGAATCTGAAAACTTTGTTCAATTTAATCCTGAGAGGCCTATTGAACAGAGACATTATGATATAGGATCTGACATTGGCATTCCATCAACAAGACAAATAACTGAAGAGAGTTCCGTTAGATTACCAGACAAAGAATACTTGAAACTTTTAGGAAGTCTAAATGTAAGGCAGCGGGAATTTTTTAATCATGTCTTGCAGTGGATCAAAACAAAGACAGAACCTGTTTATTCATTTTTATCTGGAGGTGCTGGTGTTGGCAAATCTGTTTTGATAAGAGCACTTTATCAAGCTCTGCACAGATACCTATGTTCCATAGAAGGAGAAAATCCAGATGACATAAGAATACTTCTTTGTGCTTATACTGGCAAGGCAGCATATAACATTGGAGGGGCAACTATAGCATCTGCTTTCCATCAAAAAATTAATCAAAGTCAACAAAGCTTGCACTGTGATGAATTGAATACTTTTCGTACGAAGTTCCAAAACCTAAAATTGATCATAATTGATGAGATATCCATGGTTGGCAATAGGTCATTAGCACTCATTGATAGTCGTCTACAACTTCTTACAGGCATCAAGAAACCATTTGGTGGCATTAGTATCATAGCTGTTGGTGATTTCTTTCAACTTAAACCTGTGATGGACCGTTGGATCTTTCAGGATTTAAATCATGATGCTCAAGCTCTTGCAAACAATCTTTGGAAGGAGCATTTTTGTATTTTTGAGTTGGATGAAATAATGCGCCAGAAAGATGATCTTGAGTTTGCTCAACTTCTCAATCGTCTTCGCTACAATGCAATGACAGCAGAAGATATGAATGTAATACACAGATGCATGATAACAGAAACAAGTGACAATTATCCACACCATGCTCCTCATCTCTTTACACAGAATTCTAAAGTAGATGCATACAACAATCAGTTGATTGAAAAACTTGAAGGAGAAAAGGTGACAGTGAATTCAGTGGATACTGTTCTTAAGGATTATTCAAAGGAACTTAAGGAAAAACTGCTCAGGTCTCTATTCAAAGCAGATGATGTTAGCAAAACTGCTAATTTGATGCAAAAATTGATTCTTGCTGTTGGTATGATATATGATATCTCAGTCAATGTTGATGTATCTGATGGTTTAACAAATGGGTCATCATGTAAGGTACAATTAATTGAAAGGAGAATGGAAGGAATATCAAGGCCAAGCATTGTTTGGGTAAATTTTTTTGATTCTGCTGTTGGAAAAACAACTCGCAAAAAATACAAACATTTGTTTCATGATGAATCACTGAGGATTGGACACCAATTTTTGAAGTTCAGCGGTCTTTTGTATTGAATTACAATACTTTTCAGAGGACTCAATTTCCATTACGGCCAGCTGCAGGAAAAACAGTTCATAAAGCCCAAGGTTGCACTGTTGATGAAATTGTAATTGATATGTCTCAGACTAAAGTTAGGAAAAATCCACATATTCACTATGTAGCACTAAGTCGGGTTCGTTCAGTAGATCATCTTCACATCCTAAACTTCAATGAACAGGCATTAGCTATGGATGAACAAGTGGTAGAGGAAATGGAAAGAATGAAAAAAGATGTACCACTACAACTTTGTTATGTCCCATTATACCAACTTGATTTGCACTCTTTCAAAATTGCTTTCAACAATTGTAGATCACTTCATAAACACTTCCCACAAATTCAAAATGAACCAAATATTGTTGCATCAGATGTAGTTGGATTCTCAGAGACAAGATTAACTAGTGCAGATGTAGCTGAAAATTATCAACTACAGGGATACACGGCAGTATTTAACCATGAGACTACAGCTAATCTAGATAGACGTCCACATCATGGAACAGCAATATATGTGAAAAATGATTACAAAACAACCTGCATCTCAAAACTGAACACCGGCTTCATCGAGTTCATCATGGTAAATGTACAATTAAACCAAAGTAGAGATGTCCAAGTTATAGTTATTTACAAATATCCATCTTGCTCTTTGGGGAATTTTAAACACCATGTGGAAATGCATATAAAACCCTTGATTGATGACCAAAAAGACTTGGTATTCTTAGGAGATTTTAATTTTGATTTGTTTGCTGGGCATACAGACTTTTTAACATTCATGGAAAAAGACTTTAATTGTAAGCAAATTGTGCATAAGACTACTCATGACTCTGGTTCTAAACTTGACTTGATTTTTACAAACATATCCCCATGTGGAACAGATGTGATTGAAGCATACTGGTCAGATCATAAAATGGTGTACTGTGCATTTGATAAGACTGAGCATTAAATATAATGGGACACCAAAGTAACAACATATCAGAGGGAGATGCGTAAGAATGTCCCCTCCCTCATCCCTTTGTTCCAGTCTTTTATTATACCTCTCAAACAAAGTTTGAGGGGTATACTGGAATCATCATGTCCACCTGTCTGTGGCTTTGTCAATATCTGAAGGTTTTTTAAATATTTTTTTTATGATAATATCATGACAATCAAGAAAGGTAATTCAGACAAGATCAAGGTCACAGAGTTCAAATGTGTATAATTCTGACAGGTCATACTTTGGCAAAGGTAGAGGTCTGTCATGATTTCAAGCCATGACTGTTTGTATAAAGTAATTTGGTAATACGATGATAGAAATATTTAGGCCATGGAAATGTGCAGTATAATTTTAGCAGAATTGCGAAGTATGTGTCTTTCCAAGTTGCAATGTTGGGGTATTAGTCCTATATAGGCAGATTAAGTCAGAAGGCACCAACCTTATAAAATATAAATTAATTTTTTTTTTTGTTATAAATGTTCGAAAATATGAATTCTGCACTTTATCTTTGTAATATTATGCAGTTATTTTGAGATGAACACATATTTTAATTTTAAATCTGACTGTCGTTTGCATCCTTTACATAATTTAATTCTTATTGTATTGATGTATATATGGTTACTCCAAAAAATGCTCACTTAGAATTTCCTTTGTATAGAATAATTTATTTATTTTTTTTAGTACAACAATTTGCATTGAATTTTTAATGCATATTTAAATTAAAATGATAAGGTCATATTCACACAATAATTACATTTTCACCAATTACTAGTAGGTGTGCACTTGAAGTTTCAGCTTATTTCTCAAGATTTGTTAAATTCTTGACAACTCTTTTCATTTATATATATATCTGACTACATGTATTACCACCATTGAGGATTAGTGTCTTACAAACAGTAAAATGTTTCAGAAGTCAAGTTCCATCTGTCCCTTTAAAACATTTGGATTATATTTTATGCTGAAAACTGAATTTTTCTGTTGGAAGCTTAATTTTCATTGTGATACCTTGTGATTTTTCTGCAATGGAAGGATATTCCTTTACAGACTACAGTGATTGTGACTCTAAACTACGCCGTTAGCTGTGATTCGGACTCTTAAACTGCTGTTTTCACACTCCCAGCAGTAATTGCCAGATATAATATATCACTGAAATGATTATGTGCCACCTTATAGAATGTGGAAATCACTGAGTTGGATCTCTTCATTGACAGACTTGTAACTTTTGCTCAAATATTTTGAACATTTACTTCCATGAATAATATGTGCCAGTAAATTTTCTAATTTGCTTGCTAGAAGTGAAAGCATATTAAAACTGGCCATACAAAATAGCATTATAAAAATAGTATTATACTTTAATTTCATCTTATTTGTATTGTGAACTTCTTTTTAAAACATGCATCTTAAATATAACCTGTGTAAATAACATGTAATATGCTTACAAGTTAAATAATTACATTACACAGTAGGTGTTTAATTGTGAAACCTTCAGATTTGTTGATTCAAATGAATTCCATCTTGCATGGAACATGAAAAATCTATGTTATTAATCAAATGATTAATGATGCCTTTTATTATGTCAACTTTCTTGTGTACAAAATGTATAATTTACAGGTAAGTATGAAAGAGGGGGTCAATGGCCAGCCCGTAAAGGGAGGTAAACCTACCTCTTTCAGGAAAATATATTGGAGAAAATGTTATTGTTATATATCCTGGTACATTTTCATGCTTAGGATTTTCTTTGGAAAATGTATAACTTTATTTCTTTATTTTGCAAACTGCAGATTGTACTACAGCAATACTGTAAATCCATACTTAATGTAAAATTATATAGAAAGGTTATATTCAAATACATTTTAATTATTAATAATTAACTGTAACTTTGCCAGTAAGATGGGATGTCAAGTTTTAATCTATTTACTTACTTTGATCTTGATATTGTAAAATTCCAGCAATAACAAAATGTTTCCCTGTATACCATTAATTAAATTAAGTTACACTTGTTGAATATATCATTTGTAAATTTTTTATTTTGAATTGTTCTTTACTTTAATTCATTATTATTACATGTATAATTGTGTATATATATGGCTTTGTAGTTTTGTATAGGACAAGAATCAATCTCTTTGATTCTGAGTTTACTGTTCAAGAAGGTTGCTGTCTTTCATTTGATTTTTTTGTGTGGAGCTTTATATTGTGATATTCTGTGATATTTTAATTGTCATTTGAAGGATACTCTTAATAGACTGCAGTGATTGTGACTTTTATGGTTGTGATCCTCACAGACTATGCCATTAACCCAAGTAATTGAGAGACAATTTATTACACCTGCATACCAGTAAATTATTTGGTTTGAATGTTTAATGTTTGCCAATATGCCAGTTAACTTTAATATTTAATACATGATAAAATAGGCCATATGTAAAAGTTGATTAGTACATGTATACATTAATTTTAATTTTTTTTTCTCTTGTTAACTTTTTGTAAAACATAATTCTTGAAAATGCATGTAACTGATGTGTGTAAATGACTTACAGCTGCTTACTGGTAATTGTACTTCAAAAGTTACATTTCAGAGTAACCTTGTTAAGTGTGAAACCTCAATTTAGTAATTTGAATGAATTTCTTGAAAAGTTATAATTGCTCCATCTGATAATATGGATCATGTGGATTTTTGTATAAAATGGTGAATTGCCATTATATTAACTTAACCTTTATGTGCAAATTAAATATTTAATATACAGGTAAGTATAGAAAGAAGGGGTCAATGGCCAGCCTGTAAAGGGAGGTAAACCTACTTCTTTCCGGAAAATTTTTTTAAAAAATGGAAATATGATACAATTTAATTAAAACAGCACATTTCAAATGCCAAAAAAAAAAAAAAAAAAAAAAAAAAAAAAAAAAAAATTAATAATAATAATAATAAATCCTCTTATAATTGTTTGAATTTGAGGTTGCAGTATTGCAAATTTTAACAAAACATCATCATATAAATGCTTGTCATTTACATACATTTATATTCTGTAAACTAACATACTTTTTTTTATCTCATTCACTTGCATAATCTTTCCCTTTTTCGCTTTTTGTTTGGGAAAGGTTATCAATATTGAGTGATTGTATATTTCTTATATAAAAATAACCAACATCATTAAGATATACAGTATGATGCTTAGTTTATTACATCTTTTTCAAAAAATATTTGTTGTTTAATTTGTGTCCAGTCTTTATATTTCAAATTTATATAAAACTATTAATTTAGAACAAATGAATGTAAGCGGCTATACTGTTTCCAAGAATCTACCAGCAAAACTGCAATTTAATTACAAACTCATGTGAAGCATGTAAACATTACTTGATGACAACACTATAATTGTTATGTTTTATATTTTAACTCTAATTATACTTAAAAGTTGCATAGTATTACTTACAGTAAACTCATAATTACTTGTATAGTTTTCATAATCAAATAAAGATTTTTAATAAACTACAGGGCATTTTAATTTTTTACTCATTGAAGGTTTCAGTAAATGCAAATTAAACCTTTAACAGTCTTAATTGCTGTCATATTACAAAATGTGCATGCATGTCTAATTAACCTTGTCGATTTTTTTTTTACATATAATAAACATTCCATTTATCAAATTAAAGGAAATTCCCTTATGTTGTGTGAATTTTAAAGCAAATATTGGGCCAACTTCACTGTTGAATCAGATCAATATTGTGGCCCATTGATCTTTTTCTTTTTTTTTTTCTTTTTTTTTTAACAAACACTCAATGATTATATGCAAGTCAGACTATGCCAATGATCTGATAAAAGATTCTGAACCATATTTGATATATGAATTAATCTGAAAAATTATTGGAGCTTATAAATGGCCCATTTCAGTGTCAAATGGGGGATACAGCCACCATATTCTGCAGCATGTCCTTATGAAATTTCATAAATTGATCTTCCTTTTGAAATATATACCTTAATCTAAGCCCAACCTCAGAAACCGAACTACTTTTCAATGTACACTTTGGTATATATATCACTCAGTACATCTGACAAGTCTGTACACATATTTATGTGATTTGTGACTTTCAATTAGAGACAGTTAGATGAATTTGTCAAGGATTAGAAATTAAAAAAAACAAAAAACAAAATGTGTTTGTGAATTGAACACTGATGGCCCTGTATGGCAGCTTATGTTGAAGGTTGAACAATCTCAAATGCAAGTCAAACTCCAAATTGTTGGTATGAAGAGGAAGTTGTTTTCAAAAGGAATACACTTATGAAATGTGAAAGCCCTAGTACTATTTGCTCAAAAGTTATGGCCAAGGTTAAAGTTTATTTACAAAATGAGTTAACTCTAAGGTCAAGGTCAAAAGGTGAAAAATATTTATACCTATTGAAAGGTCTTGTCACAATGAACAGGGGTGGATCCAGCAATTTTTGAAAGGGGGGGTTCCAGGTCAGTGCCCCCAACATTCATGCATAGAATTACGCCACAGACACTTCAAATCCGTACCAATGGTTTATCAAAAGGGCCAACCTCCAAACAGAGTTGACAAGCTAAAAAAAAAAAACAAAAAAAAACAACCAAAAAAAAAAACTGTGCGCCACATTCTTTCATCCTATTTCGGGGGGGGGGGGGTCCTCTTACTTTTCCGCACTTTTTTGGTTTCAAATGCTTGAATTGCGTATTTTGAACTTTCAGCAACAAAATGGGGGAGCATCCAAATCAAAACCTGCATATTAAAACTACAGCAAAAGATTATTCTCAGAAAAAGTGAACCCACTCCCCCCCACATACTACTGGGGCATTTTACACCTTTCTATTCATAGATTAAAATATCACCATAATAGTCTCTTATGTCTGCTTTCTTTCATGACTTTTTATTCATACTTTTTAAAGTTAGTTACTTCAGAAGATGGCCCAAAAATGGCATAGCTGAAGTTCGCTGGAATCTTCCAATGCTATGAAAGTTAAATCTTGCATGTAACCTGTGGGTGGTTGGGGCCTAGGGCCAAGGTTCTGAAGGTACGTGGAGGATGGAATATGGGGCACTTTATCTACCGAGCAGAAAGGGCAGAGATTGAACTACTTATTTTATTCAAAATATTAGACGTTAAGTTATTTATATTACAGAAATCTCTCTCTCTCTTTGCAAAAATAAAAGGGGGGGGGGTTCCAACCCCTGGAACATCCCCCCCCCCTCTGGATCCGCCAACGAATTGAATACACATGTGAATTTTCATTCATTACCAAAAATGAAAATTCAATAAAATCACTTCTGAGAAACATAAAACAAAGAATATCAGATCAATGCTTACAAGAGGAATACGCAAAGATTCATAATTCATCAAAACTAAAATTTTATCAAGTTGTTTTTAATAATTTCAAACGCTGTGGATACACTGATATATTAAAAAAACAAAGAGATCAGTTATTAGCAGGTTGAGACTTAGTGCACATAACCTTGCCATAGAAAAAGGGAGACATTTGTCTATACCCACAGATAAAACCTGATTTATAATTATGTATAGCCTCACATTCTATACTAAAATATTGTATATTTATGTATGAGCAATTGATGATTCTTATAATGTGTTGTGTCTTTGCCAATTATTGTAATTGTGTTTGTGCCAATAAATATTTGTATTTGTATTTGTGAATTTAAGAATGACAGCTAGCCCCAGCACCAACAGTTTAAAAGTTATAGCCAAGATTAAAGTTTGGGTTTTGTTTTTGTTTTGTTTTGTTTTTTGTAAAAATGGGTCAAACTCCAAGATCAAGAGGTTAAATTTGGTAATACCCAAAGAAAGATCTTGTCACAAGGAATACACCTATAAAATATGAAAGCCATAGCCCCACCCATTCAAAAGTTATAGGCAAAGTTAAAGTTTTTGCGGACAAACAGACAGACGGACAGACATAGCAAAGCTATTTTCCTCCTAATCTTCGATTGTGGGGCGTAAGAATTCCGAAAAAAAAAATTTTAATACTAAAGGGGAAGGGGGGAGGTAAGGACAATCCTGTCCAGGAATATCCCTGACTACTGCAGGAAGAAATGGAAAGCAAATATGTTTTAAACTAATACTCTTTTAAAAAATGATTATGTTCTTTTTATCATTTAAATTCAGCTTGTGTTAGTGTAAATGCGGTAGTCACACTTTGTGAAAGTCCGACCTTGTCATAATCCGACATTGTTGTAGTACGACTTAATTTTCAAGCATTTCAATGATGAAGACGATGTAATTAAGCACTTTCCCGCCACAACTCGTCAGGAAAAAATGTCTGCGCCAAAGAAGATCAAGATCGAGGAAGAGAAAACCAGTGTCTCAGGTTATGTACAAAATGTTTCGCCCATTCGTACGAGCAGAACAAACTCTCGGTACTTCAATGCAATCTTTCAAACTGAGAGAAATGAATTTAACAGGGCTGCCTGCTTTGATGTGGCTAAACATTCTGTCCTCATGGATGCGTCCCAAGCTCACACTCCACTAAAATTACTCGATGTACAGCTGGTACCTAGTCGAATTGATGCATCAAAGTCGGAAGTTCTTCTCAACCACAAAACAAAAATCGAAGTATGCAGAACTCTGAACTTCAACTTCAAACAATCGCCAAATGATGACGACAAAGATGGAGAGAAAGTCAAAAGCCTAGCTGAGGTTCAAGCTACTCCAGAGCACAACAAGGTATTAAAATTAATGTAATTCATAGCAAATTACTATTTAAATTTTGACAAAGTTCTTTTGACTAGTCAAAAATCTGTCAGACATGTCTAGTGCAATCGCTAGGTTTAGCAACATAGTTTGATTTACTTACATAGCTTGATTTACTCACTTGAAGTAGCTTTATTCACCTACTAAATTATATTAATTTTATAAATTAGCATTTTTTTCAAGATGTTCAAAAATCGCACTTTTATATACTAATGTAGTGATATCCTATTTTTAAAAAGTTATTGTAGTGGACTCTTTGAAATTATTATAATGGAAAGGGGCTTGTCATTCAGAATGTCTACTTGCAATGATCATATGACTGTGATATGTGCACCTTAATGACCTTATATCATGAGAATTCTCAGTTAGATTTCATCAATTTAAAAAAAAAATGTGTTCCACATTATCGGCTGTCTCGACAGAGATTAACATTAAGTTCAAAGGTAAATTAATATGTTTTACAGTGTGACCGTTGGGACGAGTGCAATTGTACTATTAAAAATACACTTGTAATGTTGATTAGCCACTTCAAACTTCAAGTTGCACAAGACATCTAGATTGTGACGTCACTTGACGTAACGGAGCTCGTCAGAGTTAACGGAGACAGTCGAACTTCTGCTTGAACGAGACTATAGGCCTAGTGTAATTTTTTAACGAAAGACGTAGAATATTTTTTGTTTCTTTTAAGCTTTCTACAAACTGCAAGCCTTTTATATTTTATGTTATTACTTATTCACCATTATTGCATGGAATCCTGGTAGCAAAGGAATTCTGAGAAGGTTTCACAAAAATTTGCTTGACGTGCTTGCACTCCCTATTTACAAACCAACAAAATACTGCAGCTGCTTTTGAAACATGATTAGACAAGATCTGCAGCAAATGTAGCAGACCAAATCCTTTGCTTCACTAAGATAATAATCAGTACACAAATATAAGCTCAATTATTACAGAAACAAAAGTCTGGTAAAGTATACTTTTCCTGACTAAACATACTTATAGACTGATCTTTACCCAAAGATATAGTTTTAAAAAATAAAATCCTTTTTTTTCAGGATTTAATTCATATTTTGTTTTTCTGTAGGTTGCAGTAGAGGTCAAAGTATTGTCGGCTACCCCAGTCACAGTCCAAATAGTTAGGGAATCACCTATTAAAAGACAAGAACTTATAATAAGTGATGCATCTGCCGCCATGAAAATCACAGTATGGGAAGATCTGGTTTCGAAACTTGAAGTTAACAAATGTTACAGAATTGAACATTTATCTACCCGACTTTTCATGAACACCAAAAGTGTAACATCAACAAAACAAACAACTGCAACATTGATTGGTGACATAACAAACTGTGTTGCACCAACATTAGACTCAGACATTATAACCAAAGAAGGCAAAATCACTCAGGCAGGGCTTCAACTTTTTCACACCTGTGAAAATTGCAAGTCAAAAGTGGATGTCACTGTTGACAAGTCATTGTATGTAAGATGTAATTCTTGCAAATTGAAAATGTCAAAAGAATCTTTGCACAAATCCATTACTGGCACAATTTGTTTCTCATCTGGGTATGAAAAGTATAAACTTACCATTTTTTCATCAGTACTGTTTACATTGGCGTCAATCAATAATGTAGAAATGGAAGATGCTGACTCTGTTGAGGAGTACTTACTGTCAAACTCTTTTAAAGTTTCATTCTCAAAGGATAACAAGACTGTCGTAGACATAAAATTGTCTGTTGAAAATGTTGCATAAACTCTGCACAGTGATTGTCGAAGTGTAAGCAGAAATTGCATGGTCTGGAAAATGATGACCTCCATATATATTTTCATGCAGAATGCATGACTTTTGTATTTTTTAGTTTAGTTTCCTTGTTCTGTAAATCATACATATTGCTCACAATTCAGTACTCTGCTGAATCATTTGTGCACTTTTTTTGATCCAGCCATTTATATACAGATATGTGTGAACTGCTTTTCAATGTGTGTGCAGAAATGCAGTGTCTGGAAAATGATTACCTCACATATTTATTCACGCAAGAAGCATGATTTTTGGATCTATTTTTTTCAGTTTAGTTTCTTTGTTCTGTAAATCATACATAGTGCTTACAATTCAGTACACTGCCGAATCATTAGTGTATTTTTTTTTTAATCTAGCCATTTCCATACAGATATATGGGAATTTTTTAACTGTACTGGTCAGAAAAGAAAAGAGGTTATGCAACAGTAAGGCAACTTGTTTCTCTGTAATTAATTTTGCAAAATGATGCTCCCTGTATAGTTTTGTCCAATTTCAATATAATTTGAGACACAAATAGATTACACTGTTAATCTGATACCAATTTTGTCTGATTGATTTACTATGGTTACTAAACAAAAAAAAATCTGTGAAATTCTTTCAAAGTGTTATTCCTACCGTGGTTCTTCCCAAATTGCAAATTAACTTGACTTACAAAGACATGTGACCAAGGATTAATATTTTATTTTTTACTGTTGCCGTAGTTTCAAGTTGAATGGGTATTTTCTCTACCTTAATTTAGTTAAAACTACTAGAGCTAGTTTTGTCAAATTTTACTTTAGTATGCTGTAGAATACTTGTAGATTATCATGTTTATCATAGTATTTTTGTGTAGTAGGTTTTTTTACACCCAGCTATGATGGAAAGTATTATGGTATATGGCAATCATATGTGTCCAACTGTCCATCTATCTGACTGACTGTTAGCTATAATGTGTTAAGACATTAATAGCTTACTCCATAACAAATAGAATGATTCCATTAAAGACCTGACCTCGTAATTGCAAATGTTAGTATTTGTCAAATTAATATAGTTCTTGATGACCAGTTCTTTGTTTTCAAAGTTACATAAAATTTATAAAAATTTAATTTGATGTCTTATAATATCGTTGTTTTTTTTTATATTCCAACAACAAAATTGCTTAGTGCCATGCCTCAATCATTACAAGATGACGGTTTCAAAACTTTTCTGGATATTATCTTAAAGATAAACATTAGTATTTTATGTTTGATTAGACAGTGGCATTGTTCTTCTTCTATAAACAATACAATGAACAAACATGCAGATTTGACATTTGTTTCAGAGATCAGTTGAAAAAATTATGAAGTATTATTTGTTCTTGTTAATAAAGTGTTGTGGTTACACTTTATCACAGTTTTTTTTTTAATGATGTATTTGTACTTTCAATTTTGTACTTTGAATATTTCAAGATTAGTCTACAGTATACAATAATGAAAACTTTGAAAATTCTTGGAACAACTGCTGAAGAGACTATATCATCATTTTCTGGATGATTACTTAATAGGAATTCAATAATCCATAAAGACAATTTTTTATCGCTTAATAATTGTAAGATTATGTGAACCCTTTGATTATCATCTTTTGCACATTCTTGACAGATAAATTCTTAATTTTTTTTCTTACTTAAAAAACTTCTTTGCTTTTCAAGCTCAGATCAAAAGTCAATATGTCAACATGACATAATACACAGAAAAATAAGCTTCTAAATTTGTACATATACATGTACTTCCCATTTTGACCACATGTAACTAATACGTTTTCTTTTAAAACATGACACATTGTTTTCCTATTGATTTGATTTATGCAGGATGCATATTTCATTGTGTTTTCATCAAATAAATCATTCAGTAATGATATTTGTGTTTGAAAATATTTCTGAACCAATACTGAAATTCTTGGGAATGCAATTTTTATAGAGGGCACTTGTAATCCTTCGAACTTTTTCAATTACCAATTGCATTCAGTCTTAATATATCTGAAAATGGAAGAACCAACCTGAAAAAATTTAAATTTACTAAACAAAAATTATCATAGTTGCCCACGTGGCACAGTAATTAGAGCATCTGCTCTAGAGTCGCGAAGTAAGGAGTTGATCCTTACCTCGTGGGTTCAAATCCCACTGTGGGACGTGGAGACCAGTTCTTCGGATGAGACCGTATAAACTGAGGTCCCTTGTCACAGTAGGTGCTGGCACAAAAAGATCCCTCACTGCTCAATGGCCTTCAGTGCCGAGCATAGGACAAAATTTGCAGCTCTCCACCAGCAAGTGGTGGCGTCTCCATATGAGTGAAAAATTCTTGAAAAGGACATTAAACAACATACAAAAAAAAAATTTCATGCCCCCAAGAAAGAAGGCCAATATGTTGCCTAATTCATACTCAAAAGGTCATAGGTACAATTTTCAGGTAGTCCGTTGTATGTACTAATAAATGACAATATGAATTTCAACTCAAAAGGTCAGGACCATCAAGTTTAATGCTATGGCAGTACATATATTGGAATACTGTAAAATAACATTCATTCAAAGAAATTTATACATGATTGACAAAACATTTTCAAATCCAACTTATTAATTTGATGACAAAAGTCATTGCTTACAACTGTCTATTTCAAAACTACGAAAGTTTAGAGTATCGTATTCATGCTCAGAGTATCGATGGGGCTCATAACTGAAATTTCTGCTTATATTCTCATTTAACTTTCAGATAAACAAGTGACACAATATGATGTCAAAATTTTAGCTCCTTGAGCCGAAAGCTGGAGTCAGCTTTTTGATCACATTTCGTCAGGCCCCAGTTTAGTTCAAAACATGACACCTGGTAGTTAAGTGTGGCTACTACAGGTGATAAAACCTTTACATATGTATAGCAGAAGAATCTAAGGAAGTAGAGCAGGGCCATATTGACTCAGGTGAGCGTTGTGGCCCATGGGCCTCTTGTTTAAGTTTGCTCATGGAAGTCTGTCGTCGTAATGGTGTCTTACACTATACATCGTGAAATAAAACTCGGTGGTATTTTCATAACCATTTTTGAAAGATAAATTACTTTTCTATTTTTCTTTTAAAAAATGCAGACTTCATCTAAATTTTATAAAACCTGAAAAACCAAACATATGTTATAGCATAAAATTTAATTATACTACAATTTTCTGTGTGAGAACATAATTAAATGAGAAAGTATTAACAAATAAATAAAGATTTAATGAGTTCTAATGAAATAATCGTAAACAATCGTAAAAATGAATAAATTTTTATGATAATAGATTTTAAACAATCATAAAAAATAAATAGTTTGAATAAATTTGTAAAATTATTTTGCATTAAATATTGAGAAAGTAATGCAGATATAAACATTCCAGAAATCAATAGACAGTGTACAAACTTACGGTGTGTGGAAAATTTTGAATATCCGCATATCTGTCCATTCTCACGCCATACGAGTGACCCACCGGAAATAGAGACACATCCAATAGAATACTTCAAAAACCTTTCTGTTCCAAAAGACAGGAAAAAGTCTCATTGACATCCTCGTCGATGAAGCTAATTTGTATGCAGAACAATTTTTAATAGATCCGATATCTTATGGGATCCTTAACCAAACGCTAGAACACATTAGTGGTATTTAACAGATGCAGAGGAAATGTCTGTATATTTAAGTTTGTTTCTTTCGATAGGTTTAGTTTAAAAAAAACTCAGCATAGAGGCGTACTGTCAGCAGTCCGAGTATTCTTGGCTTTTCCGGACACCTGGACTTTCGGAAGTCATGACAAGAGACAGATTCCAACTTCTCTCAACATTTCTTCACTGTAATGATAATATGCCCCGTGTTCCACGTGGTCATCCAAACTATGATCCTGCACACTTATTCCATCCAGTATTAGACCTTTTTAATTACATTTTCTCAAAGGCATACTTAGCAAGGGACATTACTGTAGATGGAAGCATGCTTGGGTTCAAGGTAATCGTCATCTCAAAAAATCTTCAGTTTCACTTTAAAAAAATTTCATTCGAAAAATATCTTCAAATTCACTCAAATTTCATTTGTATATAAAAAAGTACCAAAAGATATGAAATTTATGACACCCGTTCTACTTAAACGCATTTCTTTCTTTTTCTTTTACATCTTCTGTAATAGGGAAGGGGGATCGAGGTAGAGTTGATTTTTTTTTTTTTGTAAAACTATGATACTAGGACTTGCTGTTCATTTGGTAAGTTAATATTGTAAACCTCTTCAAAATTTAACCTTTCAAATAGATAAGGGGAATATACGAATTATAACCTTTTGATGTTAGTCAATTTTAACCATGTAAGTAATTACAAACTCTATGATCATATTTTTTTTTGTAAATTCGAGTTCTTTTACACATACCTCAACCCCCACCCCGCTTAAACAATACGTATTTGACGTCCAAATATTTGTTTTCAAATTTCGAAAATAAGTTTGATTTTTTTCCACAGGGGAGAAACTAAATCCTGCAGTACTGAGTATATATGTACATGTACCTGCAAAAACATCACTTGAGTGGGGAGCTAAACTTTTGTCTTAGCTGAAACCAACGTCGGAATCCACGGGTTTTCTCTCCGTTACACTACATTCAACCCGTGGGAGCATTCATCGCATCAAGCTCGTTTCACATGAATATTATCTAAAATCAACCAATCAAAACCATTGTTTAATATAATAGAACTCTTCTATTTTGAAGACAGTATTAGCGCGAAGAAACATGGCAGCGCCAAAAACCTGCTGTCTGTGTTTTAGTGTTATACACGACAAAAAATCATACAGACGTACAAAATCACTGTAATATTTGAAGACACAGTTGGACGAAATTAATGTAAAAGTCCCATCTACTTTGTGTAGTTTATGTTTCAACAAACTTAATAGATTAAACAAAAAACCTCGATTAAAAAACAAGACTAGGAAAGCTACGAGATGAAA